GTCATTCCTCAACCTCCTGTAATCCCATCACTCCACTGAAATTGATCTCACTGAGATCCCAACTGATTTCTTAATAACCAAATCCAACTGACCTTTCCTGATGCTTATCATCCTTGATTTTTCTACAGAATTTGGTACCACTGCCCAGCCCTTATTTCTAGGCTAAGGCTTAATCACTGAATGAGTGTTGCTTCAGTCAAACGAAGACTTAGCTTAAAAAGTCCAAGGTCCCCCACTGCATCTTGGGGCTTCTCCAGTTGTCCTGGTCTATATCTTGCCACTGGACCCAGATGGCTCTGGAGGAGAGAGTGAGGCTAGTGACTTTGCACAGCCTTCCCTCACTCAAATCCAATTCAGTTGCACGTCATGGCATCACCTCCCTGATGTCATTGGTCCTCTTAGAGAATGAGGGACAAACAGCAGCAGTAGCAATTTCTGGGCATTCTTTCCTTCCTTACCTTTCAAGATATTGCTCTTTCCTTGTTCTTTTCTTACCTGTCAGGTTGTTCCTTGGTCTTCATCATCTTCCTCTTTCCACCTATCGTGTGTGTGTGTGTGTGTGTATGTGTGTAAGTGTATGTGTGTGAACATGTGTGTGTCCTCTAAGGCTCTGCCTTTGTTCCTTTCTCTCTTCTCTCCCTGTACTTTCACTCTTTCAAACTTCATCTGGTCCCATGGCTTCAATTATCTCATTAAATTGTAAATTTCTTGAATGCAGGGACTATCTTTTGCTGCTTCTTCTATCCCCAGTGCTTAGCACTATGGCTGCTACACAGTAGATACTTGTGGTTGTTCAGTCCTTTCATTCCTGTCCAACTTTCCATGACCCCAGTTGAAGTTTTCCTGGCAGAGATACTGGAGTGGATTGTCGTTTCCTTCTCCATGTCATTTTATAGATAAGCAACTGAGGCAAATAGGGTTAAGTGACTAGCCCAGGGTCACACAGCTAGGAAGTGTCTGAGGCTGGATTTGAACTCATGAAGATGGGTCTTCTTGACTCCAGGCCCATTCTATTAACTGTGCCACTAGCTGCCCAGAGTAATGCAATAACCAACCATAATTCGAGGGGACCATCATGATGCATTGCTACCTACCACCTGAGAGAGAGCTGATGGACTCAAGATCAAGAATGAGACATTTATTTTGGGACATAATCAATGTGAGAATTTGATTTGTCTGACTAATCAGATTGTTAGAAGGGGCTTTCCTCTCTGTCTTTTTTTTTCTCAATGGGAGTGGATGGGAGGAAGAGTAAACAATGCTTATTAACTGAAAAAATAAAAATTAAATCTTTAAAAATGTAGACAATTGGGTCTGATAGTTAACTTTCATCTCCAGCAGTCTAAGGCACTGAGAGACAGAAAAAAACTGCCTCTGGACAAGAGTTTGAGGGAGACTTGGATAGTTAAATGTCTTGTTTGAGAGACTTTAACAATCATTCTGTGGAGAAGACATTCTAAAGAGAATTTCTGTAGGGAACAGAGTTAGTTCAATTATCTTTCAATCCTGATGAAAACTTAACTTGTTGAATTAAATCTTATTCTCTGAAGAAAAGCAGTTAAGTGACATCACTGAGGTAAAACTGAGTATTTTTAAAATGTTATTCTGAGAGGAAAAGAGTTCACTATTTTTTTAGAGGAACTGATTCATCAGACTACAATTCCATTATTTTAGAGAAGCTGACAGCTGACATGAGGGGAAGAAATTATAATAAACAACTTTGTCTTTCCCTTGCTTTTCTAGAGCATAGAGGCGATGCTGATAAGTGACCTTTCTCACAGCCAATGTCACTTAAATGTTTGTCTATGTTTCTGTATATATGGCCAGGAATATGCTATTTGTCTAAGCTCAGGTTTTGAGGCTGAGAAGAGATTTAACTGATGGGAGAAAAGGGGTTTCTTTGGTATTACAGGAGTGAGAGATCTGAGCGAATTAATGATACTGTTTTTGCATTTTAAATAATTTATAAGATGATTTCAGATTATACCCCCTAGATTGCCTTTGATTTCAGTGAGAGAATTACTATGGTAACAAGTCAACAGCAGAATAAAAAGTGGCATCATCAAGGGTGTTTGTCCCTGAGAATACTTGAGAGGTTTTGCTTACAGATTCACAAACCCCAAAAGGACTTCTTTCCTGGGGTTTTATCTGTGGGATTGCTATATGTGAGTTAGCAAAAAAGGCTGCTATGTTAGTAAACTCCTTAGGGGGCAAGGATGATGCTTGATGGGTCTCTGTTTCACTTAATGAAGCTAGCATAGTGTTTAGGACACCTAATTAGGCACTTTATCAATGCTTGTTAAATTTAATTGGACTAAATACACCTATTCTTCAGTGCTACTACTTTGGTGTCCCTCTTACCTAATCTCTTCATTTTCAGTATATAGAATATATTTCTATTCTTATACATCTAGCCATGAAGTCGCATCCCACCCAGTCTCAAGTGGTACCTATGAAGTTCAATTTATCTATATTAGAATAATAAATCTAGAGCTGGAAGGGATATTAGAGGTCACCTAATCTAACCCCTTCATTTCACAGATGAGGAAACTGAGGCCTAGAGGCCTCATGTCTGACTCTTCATGATCCCGCTTGAGGTTTTCTTGGCAAAGATACTGGAGTGGTTCACCATTTCCTTCTCCAGCTCAGTTGACAGATGAGGAAACTGGGGCAAACAGGGTTAAGTTACTTGCCCAGGGTCACACAGCTAGTAAGTGTCTAGGGCTGGATTTTAACTCACAAAGACGGGTATTCCTGACTCCAGACCCACAGCTCTATCCACTGTGCCACCTAGCTGCCCCCTTCAGAGCCTTACTTTGATCCTTATCATTATTATTCTTTCAGGGTTAGGAAGCCTCATACCTTTCCCTTTCTTGCCCCCCAAAGGCATTCAGGACTGTCATACCACTGCCTGGCTATCCTAAGTGCCATACTGTGGTACTCATCTTCTCTCAAGACTCATCTCTTTTACTAATTGCTCAACATTTAGGATCCAGAGTACTGTTGGAGAAAGAACATTGGCCTGGGATTCAGAAGAGCTGGGTTCTATTCCCAGTTTAGTCACTTATGCAATTTCCTCACCTAAAAAACATACAGGTTTGACTATCTTTAAGGTCTTTCCCTCACACTCTGATTTCTGTTATTCTAATTATCGATTCAAGAATCATTTTTGGGCACCTACTATGTGCTAAGTGCTAGAAATACAAAGGCAAGAAGGAAAAAATAGCTTGCCCTCAAGGAACTTATATTCTACACAAGGAAACAATATGTCTACTGATATTTAATTGCAAAAGTTAGGAAAGCTTTTCAGTAGGAGATATTGCCTGAGCTGTGGTTTGAAGAAAGTTAGAGATTTTATGAGTCAGAGGTAAGGAAGGAGGGCATTCTAGCCATAGGGGGTATGGCTTGTGCAAAGAGAGGGAGGCTGGAAATGAATTATCATATACAGAATAGAGCAAGCAGTCCATCTTGCTACTGGTTATTGTATACTAAAGAGTTTGTATGCCTGTCCTCACAGAGGTGAAAATTTTGTTGAGGAAAAAAGACTTACCCCAAAGTGAATATTATGAGATAGTCTACATTTAAGTGCCAAACTGCATGGTGTCAAGCAGAATGCTTTAGGAGTGATAAGATCATATATTTATAGCTGGAAGGGACCTTTAGATGCCATCTAGTGCATTTTTGTGGTTGTTGTTTAGTTGTCTCAGTCATGTCCAACCCTTAATGACCTCATTTGGGGTTTTGTGTTCTTTTTTTTCTTTTCAAGTTACTGGGGTAATTTGCCATTTCCTTCGCCAGCTCATTTGACAGATGAGGAAACTGAGGTAGAGTTAAGTAACTTGCCCAGGGTCACACAGCTAGTAAGTGTCTGAGGCAGGATTTGAACTCAGGGAAATGAGTTGTCCTGGCTCTAGGACCAGCACTTTATGCACTATGGTACCACCCAGCTGCCCTTAGTCCATTTTACCAATAAGAAAACTGAGACCCAAAGAAATTAAATGACTTGCCTAAAGCCACCCAGATGGTAAGTGGCAGAACCAAGATTTTGGCCCACTTCTTCTAACTCTAAATCCACTGAGTATAATGGAGGGGATCTCAACGGGGGCTGTAATAGCAAAGGATGGTTTCAAAGAGAAGGTAGGTTTTGAGTTGGGTTTTGAAGATTGAATAGAAAAAGGAAGGAAGGCAAGCTAGGATAGGAGAAGTAAGGAAAAATGGAAAGAGGAAAAGGAAGCAAAGAGGGAGAAGAGAAGGGAATAAGCATTCATAAAATGCCTACTAAGGGCTTTACAAATATTATCTCATTTGATCCTCACACAATCCTTGGAGACAGGTGCTATTATTATTATTCCCATTTTGCAGTTGAGAAAACTGAATCAGAGGTCAAGTAACTTGTCCAGAGTCACACTCATTACTTTGGGACCAGTACTGACAAATTTCCCGAGGTGACAATGAGCTAAACTCAAGGATGAATGTATCCTAGCTAGTGTTAACCTAACTCAGCATGTCATGCTTAAAAGAACTAAAAATGCATGTTAATGGAGTGAGTGACAATAGCAGAATTCCCGCTACTGCTAGAAATCTTTCACTTCTCAAATTAACTACCTGCATTTTCCTAGTAGTTTTTCAGGCAATGCCTCCCCCACTCCCCTTTCCTTTTCTAATCCAAAGGAAATATTACATTGGAGGAAATTCTTGGAAAGAGTTGTATTGTGTGGAGATTAGGGGAAGAAGAGAAAGATAGGGAAGAGAGGTTGCATAGAACGCCATGGTAGGCCAGTCAACTGGGCTATGGGGCTGGTGGAGCCTTCCAGAATCCCAGAAAATTATGCCAGCTCTAAATGGAAAAATATGAAAAGACTTCACCATAATTTTCTTTCCCTCTCACTTAGGGTTTTCCTTTTCAGCATTAAGCTCTACAGACGTATCTCACCGTAAGTGCTGTCCCCTGAAACAATTTCAGTCTGCATTCAAAAGAAGTTTGATGATCTTTTCTGTAATATTTGAAAATAAACCAAATTTTATTTGAATCAAGTACCAATCAAAGCTCAGAAATAATTTTATAAATGGTTCAAATCCATGAGGAAGAAAAAAACCCTTTTTTTCTTTATTTAAAAAGTACTTTACATTTATTGAGGCTTCACAGCAAGTCCTGTTATTTTATCACCACAGTTAAAGGTCTAGTGAGAATCAGGTGACTTTCTCTTGGGGTGTGTCTGCAAACAAAATGCTCCTTGTGAAAAAGAGAAATATTAACTCAATCCATAGATTTAGGAGAGTCTGTCAGAGGCTTAGGACAGAGGGAAAGAGAAGGATATTCAAACATCTCTATTGGACAGCTCCTATCTTAAATGCTGGCATAGCCTATATCAAGAGAACTTGCTTAAAACCAGATCTTAGATTCTTTTCTCCTTAGGCTTCACCAACAAGGCTGCTAAAAAAAAAATCAACCCCATATTCATTTAGGGAGATGTAGTTTCTTCCATGGAAGAAGGCTTTGGCCTTCTTTAAACACATCTAGTATCAACTTTATATGTAATAGTCCTCTGATAGGAATATGAGCTTGAATTGGAACAATCCTGGAAGGGCTAAGGGAAATATCACATTTTTTCTTTCATTTGTTAAGAGGATACCAGTGCACAGTTACTGGACTGGAACTCAGAAGCCAAATAGGTTTAAAGTTGTTCTGCCTTTTTCTTCCTTGCACATAGAATGGTTCAAAAGATCACATGAGTCAGAAACAAATTCCTTCACCATCAGAAAAGACCACTTCAGAGAGAACAGAGGGACTTTAAAATAATAATAAAAAACAGCAATGTCAAACACAGTAAGTGAAGAAATGAATCTTTGGGAAACAATTTCTTAGCCCTATTATAATCATGGGATTAATATTGTTAACTGTCCAAAAAGTATTATATTGGATTTACTCTCATTAAGAGGGGCCATTACCTACCGAAAGTAGAAAAGTTGTCTCACAGAGGCATTCATCAGGAAATTGGTATGGGTCAATGCAGATTTGGCTAAGGATGCTCCCATTTCTCTTATCATGGGTCACTTAAATTACTAACATTTTTCCTTGAGCCGCCTAATTCCTGTTTTGCCTTCCTCTCCTTAATAACTCTAATTCATTCCAGAAACTTAGTTCATAAGAACACAGATATAGAGCTGGTCCAATCTCTCACTAGGATTATATAATGAGCAGATAGTATGTATGATAATCACCAGATCTACAAGCAAATTCCTAGAGGAGAATGCAAGGATTTTCAAAAATATGAGCAGGAAGTAATGTTATTACGGGTGTGATAAGAACAACAGAAGGTCAACGTGAAGAAAGTGAAGGTCATCTGATCTCATTTAACAGGTGAGGAACATGAAGTCTAATGAGGGAAAATAAGTTTTTCAAGGCTACATAATGACTTAGAAGTCAAACCAACATGAAAATCCAGATCTTCTGACTCTCAGCTCAGGGCTTCCACTATACCTTGCTGATTTTCAATTGCTCCAATCAATCCAGTCTTAAGATATTATTAAAACAAACCCATGAGCATTAATCAAATATGTTAATAACTATAATTATCTATTCTGGGGACCAAAAAATATATATATCTAAACTGGGTATCTTTCAAAAGCGCCATCCTTTATGTCAGCATTGTACATGGTTATTATACATGGGGTTATCTCAGGCATCAAGATCATAGCTGGCTCCAAGGATACCATTTTAAGAGACTCTCTCACTATTGGCTTTGGGGTATCCATCAGAGTTAATTGCATTCCATTTAAAACTCTCACTAAAGCTGCCCTACCTTGGAGCTGACAGTAGGTCACTGTGTATACCACTGAACATGTTTTAAGGGAAAGAAGGGTGGGGGTGTGGAGACTCCTAGAAATGAGAAATGTGAAGTCTCTTCCAGGTCATCTAGTTTGTTCTACAGGGCCAAGGAAGCATTTCTGAGCAAGACAGGATTTCACACTAATTAAAAGACCTCTGGGACCATTCAGGTCATCAGCCTCTAGAGCCCAATTCAGCATACTTTCCTACAGTAAAAATGGTTGATTTCCTCATCAGGTCTCATGTTTAAACATCTCAAATAGCAGAGTTTCCATGGAGCCCATGGAAAGGTTCTTTGAGATGGAGAACTGAATCGGCTCGCTCTATATTTTCAACTCTGCTTTCCCTCCACCCCCCAGGGCTTATAAAAGTTTCACTGAGTCATTTCCTCTTACAGGCAAAAGGCAAAATATTGAGAATTAAGGTACATCTTTTCCCCTCTCTGTCTTCTGGTCAAGGTGTCATTTCCCCCTCCAAAACCCCAGGGGAAAAGGAGATTCTCCTCTCTGTTGCCAGGATTTGGTGCTGTTCTCATGAAGAGACCGATGCCTCTCTTTCTTGACCATTGTGGGAAATGGTAAATCAAATTTAGTGGTTTTGAGGTGCTCTTAAGTCTGGTTTTGAGTCTGGTCCCTGCCCTAACATAGTGTTCTTCACAATGAATTCATTGGGAGACACAGCTGGTGGTCAGTTCATTTTTTTAAGAATCCTTCTGTTACAAAGGAAAAGTAATACAGGCAAAACCAGCAGGAAAAATGTTGGTCAGAGCCATAACAAGGAATTTTTCGCAGGTTAAAATGGAGAGAGGGGCAGGGAGCAAGATCAGAAGTCAAAGGAATAGCTGGCCTCAGGAGTGGCCACTGAGGAAAAGAAGAACACCCCAAAACAAGGCCACCATCACTAAGGTGAAGGAGCAACTCACATGAGAGGAAAAGGAAGAGTACTATGAGATGGTACTTTTGGCATCCTCTAAAGTTTGGTGCCCATGGACCAAGCTTCGGTCACCCTGCCTTAGTTAGAGCTCTGTTGTGAGCCACCTGTTTGTAACTGGTAAAGAACATTTAAGGTAGGAAACATGACTTGGATGGGTTGGTATATTCCACCAAACAGGATATAAACCATGTTGAACTCGAATTCAAAACACATAGCTCCCTCAGTATGAAAATCTCAAGAAATTTCTCCTTAAGATGCTCAGTATTCAAGCCATAAACCAATGGTAATTCTCGTGCAGGTACTAATATAAATGAATCATACAGAAGCAACTGGATGGACTCATCTGGGAAAGTCAGTGTACAAGAAAAACTAGGAGGAACTGAAGGGAAATCTTTTGGCCATTTCTTAGTTCTTTGGGTGGAAGGTTGGTGGTAATGAGACACACATCATCCCAAGACCTGGAGAAGAAGAGAGAAGACCTGCCTGGCAGGTATCAGCACTTTAGCCCCTGCAGAGAACTCATTTTTCTCCCCTGCGCCATGGATAAAACATATCCATTGATAAATATACCCAACCCAGTGGCAAGCAAATATCAGTGCTCAAGCATTCCCCACTGGCTGGCAGACCCAGTGGGCCTTTTGGCATCAACATTGCTCCACCCCTTTGCCCTCTTCTCCTTTTGGGTCACCTACTTTTCCCTTGGCCTGCAAGCATACCATTTGAAAATTGTGTGCTTACCCTCTTTCCCACCATAGTTTATATTAATTACTGCTGGGCAGCATTATAACAACATTACCAGCACCAAAGATAGCAGCTGAGCCAGCTGTACCAGTGACTAAGTAGTATTCAATTTTCTCTTTATCTAGGACTCACTGGCAAGGGGGTTGCTAAAAGATCCTGGCTGAAAATGTTTTTGCCAGAATCCAACAATCCACTCACCCTCATCCTTGTCAAATACCTTCTACCTCTCGTGCCGAGGCAAAATTGCTGCCTCTGACAAGATCTATTTAAAAGAGGCTCATATCCTTAGTCACTGGGGTCAACAAAAAGAGGAGAAGAAGAGTCAATGTTGGTTCCATGTTCCTTATCCACTCAAGAACATGGTTTGAGATGTTGGCAGAATAGCCAGCTAAACAATTCCAAGTGTGAGAGGGCTTCATGCACTTGGACTAAACCAAGATCAGACCAGCACTTGAAGAGATTAACTGATGCACCTCTGCCCTTCAGTTTCCCCAATGGGTAAGGCCAGATGAGCTCTAGATCTTTCTGAAAGACAGATGCTGATGTTATGGTGACATCAGCAAGACTTGATCATGAAAAAAATAATAATAAAATCTCCCAAGGCAACAGGGAAGAGCAGTCTGTGAAGCAGGAGTCTTTGGTGGAGAATAAGTTCTTTTGCAGCAGAGGCAAGATAGGGTGAGGGAGAGTTCAAGATTTGCTGAGTCGCTTGGCTACATCAGCATAAGCCATCTCAATTTCACTGTCAGCTGCACAGGTGTTGGTGAATTCATCTCGCGCATAGGCATTCTTGAGGTATCGCCATAGACCTGTCATCTCAGCAGGAATCTCATAGTTGCGGTATTTCTTGGCTACGATCTGTAACAAAGACAACAGCAATTGATTTGAATGCATATTTGAGGGAGCAAGGAAAAAAGAGAAGAATAGTATGGCGATTGTTTTCTTGAAAAAATATATTGCAAGAGTATATTGGGCATCCTAAAAAAGATCACCAGCAGAATGTGAGTTTATAATGTCACTGCTGTTGGGATTTTTGTTTGTTCATTTCTAAGTGAGCAAGACTTTGAGAACCACAAAATCTTATCACTGAAAGGAAGCTTCGTGGTCATTCAGTCTAAACTCCTGTCCAATGTAGGAATCCCCTCTCCAACAACCTTTTAAAAATAATATTTTATTTTCCCCCAATTACATGTTAAAACAATTTTAACATTTTTTTTAAAAGTTTTGAGTTCCAAATTCTATCCCTCCCTCCCCTTCCTCAGACAGTAAGCAATCTGATATGGGTTATATATGTGAAATCATGTAAAACATTTCCATATCAGTCATTTTGTGCAAGAAGACAGAAAGAAAGAGAGAGGGGGAGAAGAGGGAAAGAGAGCGAGAGTGTGAGAGAAACAGTATGCTTCAGTCTATATTCAGACGTCGGTCCCTTCTTTAGAGGTGGATAGCAGTTTTCATCAAGAGTCCTTTAGGATTATCTTGGATCATTGCACTGCTGAGAATAGCCAAGTCATTCACATTGCTTCATTGTACAATATTACTGTTACTGTGTACAATGTCCTCCTTGTTCAGCTCACTTCACTTTGCCTCAGTTCACGTAAGTCTTTTTAGGTTTTTCTGAAATCATCCTGTTTGCCATTTTTTATAGCACAATAATATTCCATTACAATCATATAATACAACTTGTTTCAGTCATTCCCCAATTGATGGGCATCCCCTCAATTTCCAGTTCTTAGCCACCACAAAAAGAGATGCTATAAATATTTTTGTACAAATAGATCCTTCCATTCCCCCACCTCCTTTATCTCTTTGGGACACAGACCTAGCAGTGGTATTGCTGGATCAAAGTCTCCAAAAGCCTTTAAAAAAAAAAAAAAGGTGGTCATACAGTCTGTGCTTGAACATCCCTATTACCCAACCACATAGACTGTCCCATTATTGGGAAGCTCTTTCTGTCTCTCTGTCTGTCTCTCTCTCAAAAAAAACCACCCTAAAATAAAAAACACATTAAGTCAAATGCTGCCTCCCTTCAATTTCTACCCATTAGTTTTAGACCAATGAGCCAATTCAATCTGATTCCATTAAAGAACTATAGAAGCACAGATTTAGAATCATAAGGGATCTAGAGCTCATCTAGTCCAATTCCCTCATTTTACAGTTAAAGAATTTAGGATCACAGAAATTAAATGACTTGCCAAAGGTCACAGGTATTAAGTGGCAGAAAACAAGATTCCAACCTAGGTCCTTTGACTCCAAAAATCCAGTACTCTCTCCAGTGAACCATGCTGGGCACTGGGAATTCACAGACAAAATAAAAAATAGTCCTTGCCCTGAAGAAGATTGCATCCTACTTAGCAGACACAAGTTAGGAGAAAATGCAAGCTACTTTGAGGAAGGAGCATTAATAACATGGGTGATATGAAAAGATTGCACCTGAACTGAACCTTGAGGAAAGCTAAGGATTACAAGAGGTGGATGGAGGTGAGGAGGGAGTGTATTCCAGATAGGAGAAGCAGCCTGTGCAAAGGTAAAGAGGTGAAATTCTGGGTTGGGGGAACAAAATAGGCCAGTTTGGCTAGAACTTTAAGAATATAAATGTAGAGTGCATGAAGGTAGAATGCATGAAAAGTACCCTGGAGCCACAAAGAACAGGCCTAACGTAAAACATTACCCTTTGACACTCTTGATCACTCTCTTTTGACATTTCTCTAGGTGTTTGTGACGCTACTCTCTCATGGTTCTCTTCCTATCTATCTGACCATTCCTTGGTCTCCGCCTTGCCCTTGTGTTTCTCTTAAAGTAGTGTCTAGGGCATCTGCATGAGACTTTCCATTTATTTTTAAGTAGATATTACTACCAGGAGCTTGTGGGTATCGTTGGGTGAAAAGAGGAAGAGCATTTGCAGAATAGCCAGACAACCCATTCTCTTAACTGGAGAGATGATAAGCAATTTGGGATAATGGCTTAACAGATGTCCTTGGAGTCAGCAAGACATAGGTTCAAATTTCACTTCGGACATGTATTGGTGGCATCACTCCGAACAAATTGGTCAACCTCCCTCTACCTACCCCAGGTGACTGTCCAAGAATCTAAGCTTCTAAGAAGGGGCTGAGCTTCTGTGTTATAGGGAGTTACTTCCTGTGAGCTCCTGACATCATTGAAATGACAGGCTGTAGGATCATCAATTTCTATTTAAAAGGGACCACAGAAACCCCTGAGTCTGACTTCCTCATTTTACAGATCAAGAAACTATGGAACCCAGAGAAGTGACTTGTGAAAGGTAACAAAGATAGTAAATGTCTGTTATAGGATTTGAACTCAGATCTTCCTATATCCAAGTTCAGTGCCAGGCTATCTTCCATACATGCAGTTTAAAAACAAAACCTTGAGAGATACAGAGGTTTGAAATTATGCAGTAATTTTAAGAAGTGGAAAATTGAATTTATAAGGCAGCACCTATTTAAACTAAAATAAAGAATTCTGAAGGAAAACTCAGCAAGTTTGAGGAGTATAAAAGATTAAGAGGAAAGAGATGTGTTTTCTCTCCTTTCTACTAAATATGAAAGGAATGAGTATAGATCAAAATTACTGTGGCTAGTATATGTATATACATTAATATAAACACATACATATATATACATATACACACACACACACACACAGACACATATATACACACACACACACACACATATACATATATGTATCCTGAAAATCATTTAAATGAAAGGGAAAAGCATGGTATCTATGGGCTGCTGGGCAAACACCTAGCCCTCTCTGATTGCTCACCATTCTTCTTTCTGGCAGATAACCTAGCAACTACTCAAATGAATGAATATACTGATTTGGTTGTGTCTACATAGTATTTTTGTGAGACAAAAACTCGCATTTGTTATCATTAACCCTTTGTGTACCACCAGCAGACAAGGCAGGTCTAATTTCATAGCAAAGTCCTAGAAATCTTAGAATGTCAACTCTGGAAGGGGTCTTAGGAGAACATCTGGTGGATCTTTCCCCCCCACTTATTTTACAAATGAGGAGACTGAGGCCCCCAAAGAGGGAGTGCTTTGCCCAAAGTTAGATAGACAAGTAAGGGCACAGCTGGCATCAGGAATCTGTAGCTCTTTTCACTGTGCTTTGTCGCTTTGATACAAATGAGAAACGCATTCATCTTTCTGAACAGTTTAAAATTGGTAAAGAGCTCACCCAAAGAATCTGTCCTTATGTTACTCTGTCCAGTTTCCCTGAGTGTTCTGTACATGGCAGGCACTCAATAATTGCTAACATTCAAATGATGCCTTGCTATCATTAATTTTACAGAGATGGAAATTTAAGAACAGAGCGTTGACTTGGCAAAAGCCACCCAGGAAGTTAGTGGCAAAGCAAGGCCTGCCTCGATTTTCCTAGGTCAAGCATACTGGCTACTAATCTTTCTAGGGTTTGTCAGAAAATCTGGTGTCACTGGATAAGAAGGAGTTACTTAAGGCAAGCAATGGTAGAGTCCTAGCATGACCATTCTAATCAAAGGTAGGAGGCAAGCACCAGTGCTGATGAAGAAAAAAAGGTGTACAATAAATAAACTGTTATTTAAAAATGTTTTGTTGTCATTCCCCAGTTGATAAATGGTTAAAGGATATGAACAGGCAGTTTTCAGATGAAGAAAAATTAAAACTATCTATAGTCATATGAAAAAATACTCTGAATCACTATTGATTAGAAAAATGCAAATCAAAACAGCTCTGAGGTACCACATCACACCTATCAGATTGGCCAACACGACAAATGGCAAAATGAAAAATGTTGGAGAAGATGTGGGAAAACTGGAACATCAATGCATTGTTGGTAGAGTTGTGAACTGATCCAAACATTTTGGCGAACAATTTGGAACTATGCCCAAAGGGCTATAAAACTGTGCATATCCTTTGACTCGGCAATACCACTACTAGGCCTGTTTCCCAAATAATTTTTTTTAAATGGAAAAGGACTTATATGTACAAAAATATTTATAGCAGTTCTTTTTGTGGTGATGAAGAATTAGAAGTTGAAGAGATGCCCATCAATTGGGGAATGGCTGAATAAGTTGTGGTATGATTGTGGTGGTATACTATTGTGCTGTGGGAAATGACAAGGTGGGGTATGGTTTCAAAAATACATGGCAAGACCTATATGAACTGACACAAAGTGAAGTGAGCAGAACCAGTAGGAACACCGTACACCATAACAGCAATATTGTATGATGATCAACTGTGAATGACTTGGCTATTCTTAGCAATACAATAATCTAAGACAATTCCAAAGGACCCATGATGAAAAATGCTATCCACATCCAGAAAGAGAAAACTGATGAACTCTGAGTGCAGACCAAACCATACTTTTTTTCGGCAAGGCAATTGGGGTTAAGTGACTTGCCCAGGGTCACATGGGTAGTGAGTATTATGTGTCAGAGGCCAGATTTGAACCCAGGTCCTCCTGATTCCAGGGCTAGTACTCTATCCACTGTGCCATCTAGCTGCACCCAAAGCATACTTTATAAAACTTTATTTTTTCTTGTTTGTGTGTTTTCTTTTGTAACATGTCTAGTATGGAAATATATTTTGCACAAGTTCATATGTATAATTGATATCATATTACTTGCCTTCTCGATGAGTGGGGGAGATGTGGGAGGGAGGGAGAGAATTTGGAACTCAAAATTTTTTAAAAATGAATGTCAAAAAAAATTTTACATGTTATTGGGAAACATTTAACAAACATTTAACAAAATAAGTAAAAAAATATGTAAAAAAGAAAGAAAAGTACTCTTTATTGTAGGTTGGTTGGAATGTCCTCATGTGTCTCCATATTGCAAGTGCATTTTGAGG